ATGTGACAATTGAATTCTTGTCTATGTTGTATATTTATGTGAGAAACGAATTCTTGTTTATTTTGTGCCTGTTATATGACAGGTTGGATAACAAGTGTAATATTGACTGTATAGTATCAATTTTGTGACAAGTGAATTCCTGTCTGTGTAGTATCAATTACGTGAAGATTCAGTTCTTCTCTATGTTGTACCAGTTGTGTAACAAGTGAATTCATGTATGTGTAGTATCAGTTACGTGAAAAGTTAATTCTTATCTATGTAGTACCAATTATGTGACAAGTGAATTCGTATAACAAGTAAATTTTTGTCAATGTAGTACCAATTTTGTGACAAGTGAATTCCTCTCTGTGTATTATAAGTTACGTAAAAAGTAAATTACTGTCTATGTATTACCAGTTACGTGAAAAGTAAATTCTTCTCTATGTATTACCAGTTATGTGATAAGTGAATTCCTGTCTATCTAGTAGTTATATGACAAATGAATTTCTATCTATTTATTTCTGGTTGTGTAACAAATGTATTTTATTTTGTGTAGAACCAGTTATGTGACAGTTGAATTCCATTATAGGTTACGTGTATGTTATATACAGTTACGTGAGAAGTGAATTATTTTCTATGTAGTACCAGTTATATAACAATTGAATTCTTATGTAGTACTGTTACGAGACAAGTGAATTCTTGTCTGTATAGTACCAGTTACATAACAAGTGAATACTATTCAATCTAGTACCAATTATGTGACAAGTGAATTCGTTTCTATCTAGTACACTTATGTAAGAAGTTAATTCTTGTCTATATAGTACCAATTGTGTGACCAGTGAAGTATTATCTACGTAGTATAGTTACATGACAAGTGAATTCTTGTCTACGTATTATCGTTTATGTAAAAAGTGAATTCCTATGTAGAAGTTATATGACAAGTGAATTCCTATGTAGTACCAATTGTGTGAAAAATGTATTATTTTCTGTGTATTACCAGTTATATGACAGGTGGAATCTTTTCTATTTAGTTCCAGTTTTGACAAGTGAATTCCTCCCTGTGTAGTACAATTACAAGTGAATTTTTTTCTTAGTAATACTAGTTATGCGACAAGTTATATCTTCTCTATGTATTACCAGTTATGTGACAAGTGAATTCCTGTCTATATAGTAGTTATATGACAAATGAATTTCTATCTATTTATTTCTAGTTGTGTAACAAATGTATTCTTTTCTTTGTAGTACCATTTATGGGGCATGGGAATTCTTTTCAATGCAGCACAGTTATATGACAATTGAATTATATTCTACGTAATACAGTTACGTGACAAGTGGATTTGTGTGTATGTAGTACACTTATGTAACAAGTTAATTCTTGCCTATATAGTACACTTATGTAACAAGTTAATTCTTGCCTATATAGTACCAATCATGTGACAAGTGAATTTTTGTCTATGTAGTACCAGTTGTGTAACAAGTGAATTATTGTCTATGTAGTACCAGTTGTGTAAATAGTTAATTCTTGCCTATATGGTATCAATCATGTGACAAGTGATTTTTTGTCTATGTAGTACCAGTTGTGCAAATAGTTAATTCTTGCCTATATAATACCAATTATGTGACAAGTGAGTTTTTGTCTATGTAGTACCAGTTGTGTAAATAGTGAATTCTTGTCTATGTAGTACCAGTTGTGTAAATAGTTAATTCTTGCCTATATAGTACCAATCATGTGACAAGTGATTTTTTGTCTATGTAGTACCAGTTGTGTAACAAGTGAATTCTTGTCCAGGTAGTATCAGTTCTGTGACAAATAAATGTGTCATTGTCTATGTAGTACAGTTACGTGAGAAGTGAATTCCTGCTTTTGTAGTATGTTATGAGACAAGTGAATTATTTTATATGTAGTACAGTTATGTGATAAGTGGATTTTTGTCTTTGTAGTTCCAGTTACGTGGCAAGTGAATAAGTGTCCATGTATTATGTTGTCAAGATCTCAATATCGCTCTTTTAGATAAAAAAAAAAAAACAAACCCGAACAACT